ATAATAATAATAATAATAATAATAATAATAATAATAATAATAATAATAATAAAGCCAGTTATGAACATTTCTGAATATATTGATGATCGTGCTTTGCTGGCTGGGCGATGAGAATAGATTTTTTTTTTTGTATGTTGTAATTTATTAAGTGCGACCATGTACAACCAGTTCCCACTAAAAATTTTCCTCACGTTTTAAATCATGGGAGACAGCAATAATGTTCTAAAGCAGAAGTTCAGAGAAATTAACACTCAAGAAGCTCTCTTCATCTAAAAACTAAAATAAACCTTGGGTCAAAGTTAATTATATGTTTGCATTTGTTACATTTCAGTTCCTGCTGGAGCACAATTTATGTTTTTTCTGAGAAGGGATGAGACTTCGCTAGTCTTATTTGAATGGAAGCTCACAAAGTTTGCCAAAGTCTGTAGGTTCCATTCTTCTGCATCCAACTTCATTTGTATCCTAGAGGTATTTCATGTTAAGATGTAATTTTCTGTTTGCATGTCTAAGAATCAGTGAACACCAGTTTTGTCTTAGCTTGCTAGCTTAAAAATATGTTGTCATATCACCATGCTCTTAAAAATCATCTTTGTTTTTTGACTGTCTTTCTTTAGATATTATTACTGGCAGAAGCATATATATACATAAACATTGAAAGAATTCAAATGTTCCTGTCATATTTTCTCTTTTATCTGAACAAAACTACATGGTTTAAAAGATGATTGTCATAAGGGCTTCATGGCTTCATGGGATTTGGTCTAAATTACAGTTAAAAATTGTGATTTTTTAAAATTAGCAAAAGAAGGCAAAAGAACTCCTAAGCAATGCAGTTGTAAGGAAAGGTTATCATGGACTGAGGAATAAAGACCAAAGAAAAGACCTGGGATTTTAAAACTTTCTTAGAGAAAAATGCAATTAGTGTATAGTGTCTTTACTGGCCACTTTGAATATTAGATGATTGTAACACAAATCCACACACACACATGTATACACATACATCCTGTATATTCTATTAAAATAACTGCTCACTACCCAAAATTAAATAAACAAGATGGTTGCCCATAGACTTTGATTCAAATAAATAAATGAGCAATAAAGGCCACATTCCTTCTAGGTTAATACACAGAGATTGTCTTTCTGTGAGACAGGAATAAATATTATCCTAAACTCTGCAGAATTTTCTACAAGAATGTAAATAAAGTATATAAGTGTTTCTACAGCTGCCTCTGTGATAACCTGGAGCATGGCACAAAGGCTACATAGCCAGAGAATAATTATGAGTTCCTTTACTAGCTCCAGCTTTTCCCCCAACAATCCCATTACTCTCCGGTCTGGAGAAAAACTTACCCACGAACCTGCAACAGCCTTTGGCTGCAGATACTTCAGTCCAGACATTCTAAACAGAAAACTTCAAATTATAAATCCAACAAGGCAAAGTAAGGTGATAAATCTGACAGAACAAGATTAGGAGTTCCAGAAGTGAAGTAACATGGCAGTAAATCAAACCAGTTGGGAGGATGCCAGGAACTCAGATAATGGCAGCCAACACTAGGTGAACTCAGTGTTTTTTCCTGACAACCACCCCTCCCATCTGCCTCTCTTTTAAACTCCATCTCCAGGTGTGCCTTGTGAAGGGAATCAGGCCCTTTCCTCCCTTGTAAGCCACACAACCCATGTTGCTGTCTTCTCCTTTCTTCCCTGCATGGCCTAGGATTTCCTTTCCCCAGTTTCCTTCACAGCCAAGGGAGCCACTCTCCCACTCTCTGTCAGCTAATTGTCCTCCTCCTCCTCCTCCTCAGACTCTGATGGGGACATGACAGCCTCTTGTAGTTTCTGGATGCTGTAAAGACCTGGATGGTGAAAATGGTTCAGTTGAACCCTGATTGACTCTGGATATTTGGAAATTAGGGATCTGGGAGTTTAATAACTTTCTGAATGGAATTGAAACTATCCAGGAGGAACCTTTGCACAGCTTTGAGTTGTTCTTAGACTAACAACTCCTGCTGTAAGAGCAGGTAGCAGTCATAAAGTGGCACCAGGTGACTGGAGTCCTATGTGATCATCAGATGCCCCCGTGTCTCAAGTGAAAAATTTACAGAATGGTAGCACACCCAGTCTCCCTCTGTGGATTGGAGTCCTGGCCAGTGCAGACTGTCAGCTGTGGATTGCATTCAAAATCCAAGAAAGAAAACCTTAGACTATATTAAAATAGAGAAAAATACTTTTACTGGATTGGAAGTGATAGCAACGAAAGAAAAGCAAGATCTGAGGCAAACAGGCAACAAAAATTACATATTTGAAAGTTATCCCAAGTCCCCTCCCCTAGTAGTTCAAATTGGACATCCAATATGAGGTGTTTTATAATGTCATGTGGGGTACATCTTCAGGTGGTGTCTTACACATCTGGTATGCCAAGACAGTTGACCTTGGCCTAGAAAAGATAAGTGGATGCAGTTGCCCAGAAAGCAGGAAAGTATCCCATCTTTTTTAGTTCACACAACTTCATCCATCCCCCCAACATCAAATTATCCCTCCCCTCATTTCCATGGCAGCCGGCAAGAGTCAAGCAGAAAAAGATGTCAGGAAAAATTCTTGGAGGCTGACCCTGGCAAAGCATGAGCAAGCCTTATGCATGACAGAAATGCCAATGCTCTGATGATGCCATCGATTTGTGCGATTCAACCATGCCATGAACAATGATATCTGATGTCAACTTGGAATGGCACCAATTGTAGCAAAACTGTGGGAAGGAAGACTTAGATGGGATGGACATATTGTACGTGGTAAAGAAGACTTGGTGGCAAGGACAGACATCCATTCAGAAGTTCAGAAGCACTTCAAGAGAAAAGTCTTGCACTCTTTTGTATACAATACAATTCCTTATGCTACTAGGCTTGAAATTTTCAGTTTGGATAACTTAGAACTGCGTCATTTGTGGTCAGACCTAGCTATTGTACACAAAATTATACATGGTAATGTTTTATCCATAAATGACTTTTTCTGTTTTAATTGCAATAATATGCACATGAACAACTGCTTTAAACTCAGTGTAAATCATTCTAAACTTGACTGTAAAAAATATGATTTCTGTAATAGGGTTGTCAAAGTCTGGAATGCCCTACCTAATTCAGTTATCTCAGCTACAAATTTTCACAGTTTCAGTCACAAATTAACTCCTGTGGGTCTTACTCCATACTTAAGTGGTCAGTAGAGGGGTGTGTGCATAAGTTCACTAATGTGCCTATCATCCCTATCATTGTACTTTTATTCTCTTATTCTTGATCTCATTTTTGTTTGATAAATTTCAATAAATAAATAAAATCTGGACCCTGATGGCAACAAGACTGTGGCAAACCAAAGAAATTGTTGATGGATCACATCAAGGAGGACATGAAGTGATTGGCAACTCCTTAAATGGAAGGTCATAATATAGTTGCAGAAGGCAGTTCATCATTTTGAGAAAAGATACTGCTGCTTTATGGAGTGGCATCAAGCCAACATGGGTTTGCCAAAGACAGATCATTGCAAACAAATCGTATTTCATTGTTTGATGAAGTGACTAAATTAGCGGATCAGTGAAAGACAGTGGACATAATATATTTGGATTTCAGTAATGCATTTGACAAAGTAGACCACAACCTACTTTTTGGTAAGCTAGAAAAATGTGGGATAGACAGCATCACTATCAGATAGATTTAGAACTGGTTTACAAATCACACTCAATGAATAGTCGTTAATGGTACTACATCTATAGGGAGGGAGGTAAGCAGTGGGATCCATCTTAGGCTCACTACTCTTCAATATCTTCATAAAAAACATATAGGAAGGAATAGAAGGGGAACCCATCAAATTTGCAGATGATACTAAGCTGGCAGGAATAGCTCAGACCCAGAAGATAGGCTCAGGATCCAGTGGACCATGACAAACTTGAACACTGGGCCCAATCCAATAAAATGAAATTTAATATAGAAAAAAGTAAGGTTTTACACTTAGGCAGAAAAAACCAGTTACAAGTACAGATTAGGTGAAACCCTAATAACTATGAGACATCTTGGAGCCTAGTGGACAATATTTTAAATATGAGCAATGTGCGGTGGCAGCCAAAAATGCTAATGATAGAGTGATAGTGTTGAAATCAAGTGAAATATTAGCATTGCTTTATAAAACCTTAGTAAGGCTACATCTGAAATAGTGCATCCAGTTTGGGTCACCACATTACATA